TGCTTGCTTCCGCGCATGGCTTTCCTGCATATGCATTCCTCAAGGCACCAACGTTAAGTTTTGTATTCAGGTACGCAAGCATATGCATATACATATGCAGCTCTACATAGAATGACATGAAAATGGACTAAACAACTCATTAACTACGTCTTTATTTCAATAGTTTTATGGCCATATATAGCATGCAGGGACGAGCTGGCTAGCTTAACTGGCTTGACATTAGAATGAATGCAAATCTCCGATGACGCCTGCTAATTAATATGACGGAGGAAAGTGGGCTCAGCACGTTTTCATGGAAACAAAAGAGGTTTTCTCTGGAACTGCATCAGTCCGAACGTATCAATAAAATCAACTTATCGCATACCACAGAGATTCGGCCGTCGTCTTTAAATCAGACCTACTTACAAATCCCTGTAGTACACACTTTCACACAAAATTAAATTCGACTCAAACAGCATGGTCAAGTATGATGAAGCGTTTCTAAGAATGTTCTGACAATGGTTTTTTTATACCGTCGGGACCAACGAAAGTTCATCGCGGGCAGATCAAAGTCGGAGGATCGTGTGCTAATGACCTCTTCGTTCAAGCCAACAGTCACCACGCCAAGGCAACTTTTCTTGGGGTTAAGATGAGGCCAATCTACGAATCCACTCCATACAACCTTTCCCATGAAATGGGACTAGAGAGAGTTTACAAAGACCAACATATGATCAAATATACAAGTATAAATACATGTCTCCGCTCACCCAATAGGGTGTAGGCAAAAGAAAGGAGTACACTTTTCCACACTTGGTGCACACCAAATGGTGTTTTGTGTGTATGCTCATGTGCAGGATAAATGTTGCTAGTTGAGGTGCCGCTATCCTGTCGGTCTGCCCCTCCTCATAGTACAAGAAGCTACATCATGAAAGGCATTACAGCCGAAACACACCGAAGCCAACGATGCGTACTTGTGTGTATGTGTGTTTGTATGTCCATGTGCCCATATATAGTTGTGTGTATACGTGTGAGATGCCGACACTTACAGAATAAGACACACCTAAGGCCGTGGAGATCGATGTGGGTACATTATAGTTTGGGGAGCACACAACATTGTGCTGGCATCTCAAACAGCAGAACATCTAACCACCCCGATTGGTTGAACCGGTCTACTTCCCTTTTCCTATTGATCGACCTCTTGTCTATCCTTCAGTCGACAAAGGGTATCCAAAGCCGACCGTCCAACCGTACAGCAAGTCAATTCCTAATTAGTCATAGTCGTCTGGAGGTGAAGCAGCCGGCACGTCAGTACGCAGACACATCTGCGATCGCGGGCACTGGCCGAATGCCCGTTCAGACAGAGACCAAGTGGCAAGACAGAGAAGGGAAAAGACGAAGGACGAGGTGTAGAGGAGGGCGAGAATGGGAAGGACAAGAAAAGGAAGAGCGGAAAACATAAGAGCTGCACTCGTGCGTCTTGGCCTAAGCAACTGGTACTTCATGCAGGCGTGAATGAATGATCCAGCCACTCCCCTCCGCCCCAACTTTGCCTATTTCGACAACAGCATGACCAGAAATGAAGGGTTGTACATTTGGTTAGGCTAAGGGAAAAAATGTACCGGAAAGGGATAGAAATAAATGCCAAATTTGGACCCTATTCATTGCGAGAAAAAGAGTAACATCAAAGAAATAGGACATTTTCAGCATTCTCGACCACCTGATTCCTCGCCGGAAAGCAAAAATGGGCTCGAACCAAGAAAGTAAGTATCGCCGCTTGGTCGTGTTGTCAAGGTGACCTAGTTAGGCCTCAGCTATAGTAGTTATGCCTATGACCAGCAGTGGAGTTTCGCCGGCATCGTAGTCAGCATCGTCAGTGAGTCTTGTCAGTCTTAGCGCCAAGCTTCAACTCGTCAAATGGACAAATTAAGTCAATCTCTTGACCAACTTTCTATTGAATGGTTGTGCCGTCACACCTCTAGAGTTATCAATTATCAACTAGCCAGAAGTTGTGAAAGGGCGAGAGCGAGATAAGAGGGTAGAGAGTAAAAAGCTGTGATATATTCACTCGATTTAGTTCAAGGTGATAAGGGGAGTGATGATTGAATTTTCCCACAATCAGATGAGTAGACCTTGCGTTTTCCGTGAATTTCATATATTTTTGCTTTCTCAAAGGGTATTTTCACTCCGTCACGAAAGCAAGGCTATGTGAAATGTGATGAAAACGTAAGATCTACTGATTGAGGGAAAATTCATCTATCAGCCCCTTAATTAACTTTAGACGAAATAGGATGAATACATTTGATATATAAATGGTCTACTTATAGTCTCGAGAATGTACTTATAAAAAAAAATAGATTTACCAGGACAGAAAGAGGAGTGATAGCATAACAGTTCAACACAAAGCTGGTCAAAGGATTGACTTCACTTGTCTCTTTGAAGAGTTGTAACTTGGTGCTGAGAATGACAGTACTCACTGACGATGCAGACTACGATTCCGGCAAAATGTCTCTAACAAGGTACATCTAACTAGGCCGCCCTGACAATACGACCAAGTTGTGAAAACGAGGTCAGACTACTTCTACACATCAAAAGGAGACTGTGATAAAATAGAGGCCATGTCATCTTGGTATTTACCTTTAATTATCGCCTATTCAGGCAACAATGGACAATAAGTTTGAAAATGTAACAAGTTAATGGTCCGATGATGGAAATCACGAATACTATGGCGGAGGACACAGGACCAGATACGTTCAATAAGGTTTCCCTGACACTCCGACCAAGTTGTGAAAACGAGAAGAATTCGACCAAACAGAAAGCCACACCATCTTTGGTTCATATCTACAAGTTAATGGACAATGAGGTTCTAGTGGAAGCAAGGCCAAAAATAAAGACTTTGCATCTCAACCTCATCATAAGGCACATCAAACTACACATTTAAGGGATATTTATTATATTTTTTTCCATCCCTTCTAACAGCCGACAAGCAAAAGTTTATTATCCTATCATTGTCAGGCTCAGTCATCTGTCAAGTAATATGAGAAGTTTGAGGTGATGAAGGACTGGCAGAAGAATTTTCCCACAATGACGTTTCCATTGAATTTCACAGAGCCTTGCTTTCCCAAAAGTTGTTCTCGTCCAGGTTGGACTGCAGTTTCGACCTCGCATCGGTCTTATCAACACCCTCAGCGGGAGTCGAACCACGACAGTGCAGGATGGGAGCAAGGCTATGTGAAATTCAATGGAAACGTCAGCTCAACTCATATCATTGTGTGAAAATTCTTCTACCAGACCTTCATTACCTTAAACGAAATTGGGTGAATACATCTCATATTACCGATTTA